GGTGGGATTGTTTGTTTTTGGCTTCCCACCCCATCCCCGCCTCCCCCCAGTGTGCTATACTTCCACAACAGTGATGTGGGTGTTCGACTATATTATTCACTACGACATCACTACCAGCATACAACCATTGGCATACTTCTCTTCGGTTCACACGCATAAACGCTGTCACTCAAGGAAGTCTAGTTGCCTTCCTTTAATTTCCCTTCACTTGCCATTCTGCAAGCAGTTATGGAAATATACAGAGATGCTTCACCTCATATACTAAACAATTTAAATAAAAAGTTCCACAACCGTTGTGATCAGCTGCACGCAAAAGGCGGCAACGAAGAGACCGAACCCTACACCGTATGTGTGGGTTTCCCTTAAAGCTACCCCCGACAATGGGTCATCGTCACAGAGTTTCTGGTGGTACACACCTGCCAAGCAACCCCATGTCAGTACCAGTGTCATCGTCGCACCGAGAGAGATCACAGCCGGTATAATACGTTTGTACACAAACAACCTCGCTATAAGCAGCGCACCAAGAACAAAGGAGCCAAAGGTTAGAATAATGGAGAGAATTGAAAAGGCGCGCGCCGCATCAATGTGATTCTCGCGATCTGCGCATCCCCAGTCCGTTGGTGTGTACTCGTTCGTGCCGCACGTGCGGCGGCTACCCCACATTGTCACGCAAGCACTGCTGCCACGGTCTCGGTACACGTCAATGGGCGTCGCAACCAGAGTGAGCACAAAGGAGACGAATGAGAGGACGCAGAAGAGCACCTGCCACATATTCTCAAAGAAGGTTTTCGGCTTTGCTGGTTCCGGGCGAAATCGGAAGGACTCACGGTAGACCTCCGGCACTGTGGCAGTCGACATTCCGCCATGGGACCTGGGTGTAAAAGGTTGGTGGCTGGGCATTTCATCGACTCGGATCACCCCCTGTTCTCCCATCTTCGTCCCGAAGGGTGCGCTTGCTTGTTTGTCTTCTGTGTCTTTTAGATGGTGGCGAAGTGTTTGCACTTACACTACTCCTCTTGCACTTGCAGTCTCACGCAGCGGAGGATGTGATACGCAGAGAGAGAGAGAGAGAGAGAGGCAATACACGCCAACGCGGTGCAAACAAAAAAAAAATGCCATCCCACAGACAGCCACACACACACAGACAGATGCATACAGCTCCTTCAGAATCAACCCATTTACGTACTGTTCGTTATTTTATTTTTCGTCGTAGTCGTGTCATCACTCCCTAGTCGTACTTNATATATATATATATATATATATATATATAGCCATTCTTAATGGTGGGCCTAACACCCCGCAAGAGTGCTGTATAGGAGTAAGATAATATAGAGGAAAAACTATAGAGGGCTATCGCCATCACACTTAAAGAACGGACAAAGTTACGCATGCATACGCGCTCATAGACTGTAATCTTAGTTACAGAGTCCCTCACCACCCATCCATCGGCCCTCATTGTCTTTCTCCTTTACATATTCATCACTGAGCTGTGTGAAGCGCCAGTAATCATCAAGAGAACGCACTTTCCCAGCCCCAAAGTATTGGTCATCGCATCCAATTTCCGGTTTTAATGAATGCGCCTCCTCTTCACTCACAATAAAGCGAGTCGTGTTTAGCTCACGTCGCTTCAGCAAGTAGAGCGCACGCCTTATTGCAGTTCGCTGCTGAAGCATTCGCCCCCCATGGACATCACCACCTTGCATCACCGACCAGAACCTCGGTGCATCCTTCCGCGCGTAATTGTGGTAGAGGAATGCATCACCAGGCGAGTAGCTATCCCATCCGTTCGTCCACAGTCGTGCCGAATACAAAATCTCCTCTCCGTCAAATAGGTAAGGAAGATACGGATCAAAGGGGACATCCTTTACAAACTGCGCATCACCAAAGATGTATCCGGCAGCCACAAAGCCTTGTAACTTAGGGCTACTCTGTAGTGGTATCCACCGTGCTCCCAGCTTTGGGATATTGTTGGGTAATATGACACCTTTGCACATGGACATAACAAACTTCTTGTCCGCCTCACCGTCTGGATTCTCCGGGACATACCCGTTCGGGTAGTGCGACATCACACCACGCGTCGGCATGAGCCGTGCACGTTCAATCATCTTCACATCCCACCCCGGCACGAACCGCGAGTGGCTGTCCACCACCATGTAGTAGTCCTGGTTGTTATACAAAAGGCTTGTGAGGTAGCGGCCGTACGTCGGGCCACGCGCGTCATCGGGGTTCCCCAGACGCGACACGATCCGGCATCCACTCAGCGGATGCAGGCCCGGCTGTCGCGACTCGTCCGCCGCCGCATCGCTGCTTTGAATGCAGGTGATGACGTCATCGTCCCGCCTCGCGTGCAGCAGCGGCGTGTACACTGGGGTCGCGTGTGAGTCCCGCGATACAAACGCGGCGGGGACGACATCTTTCCACCGCATCGTGCGCGTGTGGGTGAGGGCAAAGCGGTTAAGTACATGCGGTGCCTCGAGACAGCTTTTGTCTGTGGGGTGCCGCTCTTCACTAATGCCAAGGAACACGCGGTGCTGATTCTTCGAACGGGTGAGGAGACTCTCCAGCGTCGTGACACACTCATTGTCGCGGAAGGCGGCGATCGACACGAAGATGGTGGCCTCGTCCACCGGCACCATTGCAGCTGGGAGCTCTACTGCACGCAACTGGGGCCCTTCCTTAGTATCTGTCGGGCTCTGTGCTGCCTGAGGCGGTGGGGAAGGAACAAGCACGCTGAGCATTAACGCCACCAGAGAAATAATACCAACACTGGCAAAACAGATCAAGGCAATCGTAATTCGCGCCCGCGTGCGATGACCACCCGCTGGTCCATGGTATCTCCTTCGATCCATCCTTGCCCTCTTACCTTCTTGAGAATGGGTTAAACCTATTGTAAATACAACTATAAACGCATCATGGAGTGTTACAACCATGAAGCATATAGACACAAATAACAACAGGGAAAAATGTATATGCATACATGTCACTCTGTAGGGAAAGTAAGTTTGTTATACGAAAGGGGATTCATCTTCAACGCCGGGATCCTTAGCAAGTAGCAAAATAGAAAGAGCCTAGTCCAGCTAAAAGACTAGAGTCTGACCCTTGGTAGCGGTGAGAAAGGTGTTGGAGGAAGGGAAGGAAGATACATCAGGGTACGAATCGATAAGGCTTTACTTTTCATATGCGGCGCACCGCGTCCAAAGGTGTCCTAAGCTTGTGTCTCATCACAGGTGCAGCAGCAGGAGTGAGCGGAGGGAATGCGCAGATATTCATATCCACACATTGTGATGCATGTTGCGGTCTTATCTATGGTATAGCAAAACGAAAAGAGAAAATGAAATGGTGCCCACTTGTCGTGTGGTGTGTTGATGCGTTAGATGTAACAAGCCGGGCAGCGTAGCCTATCAACGGGTATAATCAAAGCAAAATCTCATACCGTACATTGCAAGCCTACCTCATAAACTTGCGGCGCCACCACCGCGGTGACGTTCCCCGCACAAACTGGAGGAATGTCGTGCTGTCCTCAAACAGACCTGTATCGCGCCCAAGTTCCCCTATCAACGCGACTGGAAGGTCAGGCTCAAGCTGCACTGACACCATCGGGTTGCCACCGAGAGAGAACGGCAGTAAGATGCCAATGCTGCGCATGCTACTGTTCACGTACGGCTCCGATAAGATCGGAGCTACAATGAGATCGACATCGCGGAACTGCTCCTCTATCACCCGCACGACAGTGTCACGAGTGCGTAGTGCTCTATGGTAGTCGAGGTACGTCAGTGCCCTGCCGTGGTAGATCGCTGACACCAACTCCTCCGGCAGCTCCTCCAACACACCAGGCTGCGACATGCTGCCAACAGCAGGAGCAGACGGCGACGGCACTCTCTTCCCATCTGGTCCCGTCCATGAGTAGAGGCGGTCAAAGGTCTGCGACAGCTCATACAGTGCGATGGTCTGTGTCGCCTTCACCACCGTCTCCAGGTCAACATCAATTATCAGTGGAATGACCTCCAGCACCTCGTTCTTCTGCATCGCATTGCGTGTGGAGGCGAGACGTAGGATGCGGCGACGGAACTCGTCGGCAGACAAGAGACGCTCTTGGCAGAGTTCGTCGATCCAGTCGGCGGGGTAACCGACAGACAACTCAATGTGCGGTCCGAGCAGCTCCTCCTCCGCGCCAGAGGAGGCATGTCCATGGAGGCCGATGTAGTCGTTGCGGTGCAGGCGCCAAGCGTCACCACTCCAACCACCTACGTAACCGCTGCTGCTGATGCTGTTGTTGTTGTTTCCCTGCTCTGCATTCTTACCATTGATGCTGCTGCTGCTGCTGTTGCTACTGCTCCTGCCGCTACCACCATTTGTACTTGATTCCTTCCGTTCATCCTCGAATACGCTTGGCTGGATGGCAGAAGTAAAGACCTCCCATAGATAGAATATGTCATCGAGCCGCGCCGCCGTTATGCCAACAGACATAGAGGGAATGCCCAGTCGATGGCTATCCGTGAAGGTGGCGAAAGACTGCGCAGTCGGCTTGAATGCGGCCACATCGTAATGCAGCGGCGACGTCATAGCCGCCGGACCCATGAGGGCGGAACTAATTGCGTAATTGCAAGCATTCTGAAAAACCGACACTGCAGCCGGGGAGTCGGGCACAATCAAACTCGCCTCGCCAAGCGTCAGCGGCGTTCTGCAAGCCAACTTTCCTACGAACTGTGCACCGTGGCGACGCAGCCACGAGACAAACGGGAACTCGCTGTGTGGCATCTGCTGCAACAGCTGTGAATCCGTGCCGTAGCGCGTGCGGAAGTCCCGCACATCCAGCGCGTCGGAGACGCCGATGGCAACGCCACTGAGCATGCCATCAGGGAAGAAGCTCCGCTGGAAGTCAACCTCGCCAGCCACCTCCACGAAGCATAGCGGCTGTGGGCTCATGTGCTTCGCCCTCGCCAACGCCTGCCCGCTCGCCGTGAGCTCCTCAGCGCGCTGCCGCATTTCGTTAACGACCTGCCTCTGCTCCGCTGTCCTGTGGTGCAGACGGCCCATTGCCCGCCGCACGCCCAAGCCACCAAGCATGGACGGCCGGCCCTGCTGCTGCTGCTGCTGCCGGTGCTCCACACACACACACACACACACCAGTGCGGCCCTCNCTACCTCACCTTTGATATGTGACCTAGAAAACAAACTGGAACACAAAAAGGCAGCAAATCAATTTTTTCTCTTTTTAAATAACCAAAACATTAAAAGATACGATTCTCCTTCCACCTTCCTCGGGAAGGGGACGGCATAAGGCAACAAGAAACGTAAAGTAACAAAGAAGAACGAATTTAAGCAACAACAAAAGGAAGCAATTAACTCATTCTAAAGGAAGGAATAAAAACTCGCTCATTCTTTTCCGCCTCAGTTGCTGCCTTTCGTTTACCAGTGAGGAGCCCAAAGGTTCCAACGATGCGGGACGTCGATGGTCCCCACCAGGTTCTCCGGGTCCATGGAGACGCGAATAAGTTGCGTCACTCGCTCCTCAACCGTCCGTGCTGATGTACACTCACTGAGGCCTGCTGCGGCTGCTGTTTCGCCACCCATGCCTTTTAACGGTGACTGAGCCGTCTTGCAAGTACTCTTGAAAGGAGTGCCAGGGTTCACTGAGCTGTTTGTGCCGCTGGTGTAGATGTGAATGAGGTCCCCGGAGTGCTCCATGCTTGGCTGCCCAAAGGGCTGAAGAATGGGCTCGTCTCGCATGGGAAGCTGATCATCTGTAAGCTTCATGATTATGGAAGCGCCGTCAAAGAGCCGCGGAGGATTCATGCGGCGATGTGGAGGATTCATGCGTTTCCCCCATGTGTCAAACGCTGCAGTGTTCACAGCGGAGAATGACATCCTCCGCATCGAGCTGGTTGCCTCTGCAGGAGCAGCAGCAGCAGCAGCCAAAGCAGAGGCACTCTGTAGTCGTCCTTCGCCATCTGCCCTCTCTGGTTTCGGTGAATGCTCCATCGACTCGGATGTACCGGCGCAATTCGGAACGGCGACGGCATTTTGTGCCGACCTCAGCGGACTCGAAACGCCACTGCGATCCATTAGAGCACACGGTGACTCACTTGTCCGTGCTGCGCCATCCGCAGCGGGAGTGGCCGGTGCCTCTCCAAGAGGCGTCGTCATGGCACATGCTGTAGCTGACACTTCGAAAGGGTGCAGCAAGACGCTTCCACCCCCTGCTGATCCCGTGGCTGCTGCTGTGAGTCGGGACACCTCACGGTTTGAACTATCCGGCAGAATCGTCACACTTCCACTCTTTAGCGCGGACTCGGCATCAAGTCCGTCTAAAGGTGATTGATGGGGTGGCGTGACTGCGCGCCAGGCAAAGCAAGTCATGTCTTCCAGACCAAACTTCACGATGCCAGCAACATCGCGGCGGTAGAGCAGTACGGAGTACAAACACTGCGTTGCGCTGCCGAGAAACACACCGTATGGACACCCCAGAGGCAGTGGAGATACCAAGCACCCTGTAAGACGGAATGCAGTTGGGTCAGTGCAGGGAAACGGTGGGCCGACCGACATCGTTTTTTCCGGCGGCTCATCGCTCACAGCGCCACAACCGCCCACAGACGAGCTGGACATACGACGCGCCCTCGCGCTATACGGTAGCGGCTGCAAAGCGTTCACGCCGAGATGATGCGACGCAACGTGGCCGGAGTTGACATCGACGAAGAAGGTGGTTGCCTCGCGGCGGATGGTGTCGAATAGGTATTGCAGCATGCTCCACTCCGCCAGTTCGTGAGTGTAGAGGTGCACTGCCTCTAGCCAGTTAGCGGCATCCGCAGATGCTCCTCGAAAGGCAAGTTGTAACGCGGTGGCGTAGCGTGGTGCCTCCGACTTGAGAATGACGAGACGCAGCGATGTCAGGAGCGACTCCTGCAGCTGCTGCGGCGACGCATCATATCGTCTCTTGCGTGGCTGAGCCGAGATGGGGCTGTGTTCCTCGTTCAGAAAGCCCTCTTCATTCTCCCCGTCAGGTGTGGACGTCGTTGTCGCACGTTTCCTTCCGCCTCTTTCGGGTGCCGCATGAGTCTCCTCCGCAGGTCGTTGGCAGCGCTTCAGCACCTCCTCTATTTCCGTCTGAAGCGCCTGCAGCTGCGAGGACGGTCGCGGGTAATCCACCTCAGAGAGTTTTTTGCTAAGCGTGACCTGGTGTAAGAAAGCGCAAAGTGGCCGAGTCTGACCGTGGTCAAATGCAAACTCCAGCAAACGTTCATACTTCTCGGTAAGCCTTCGTCGGATGCGTTGAGAGCGTGAAGCACTCGCCACATTGACAGTGTCTAGCTCTCTCCCCGAGAGTACAGTTTGGGACGACGCGGCATGCATGAAGGTGATGTCATGCGGGTCTGTAGTCATACGTTGTTGTTTCTGCGGCTGCTGATGCCATTGTGGAGCTGTGTTACCCTCCTCCCGGTAGCGCAAACGGAAATCGGACAGAATATGGAAAATGGAAGATGGCTGCCGCCACATGGATGCCGTGTAGTTGAACTGCAGCGATGGCGGCAGTGTCACCTGCCATGAGGAGGAGTGTGTGGGAAGGTCTGGCAACTGCGTGATGAATGTCTGCACAGTAATCGGCAGTACCAGAGGTCTCCGCGTGAACTGCAGGGGAAGATGGGCCAGCAAATAGCAGACAGAACTTTCCATCGCTGCCAATGGGCGAATGTACGGCATAGTGTCTGGCAATTCTGTGTGAAAAGCTGTCTTATCCCCACCTGCAGCAGCGAGGGACGTATTTGATGCTTCGCCACACGGCGTGACATCATTTATCCTAGCAGTAGTGAAGGAGGTCATATGGACAGCCGTGGGAGCAGGGACAGGAGTAGGCGCTGTAAAAGCTTCACTTGACCTTCGGTATAACTCACGATTCTCCCCAGTACGCGGAGACGGCGCTACAACACGTGTGGTCGTATTCTCCTGCATCTCGATACTATGAAAACGTAGTACTGAGCCATCTGAGAGGAAGAACAGAAAAACTTCCTCGCGACAGTAATGCGGAGATGTTGGGTTAAGTTGACGTCGCACATGTAGAACGCGCTGCAGCTCGTTGCACGTGGTTCTGGCCTCGTGGTCCTGTTCGGACCACTTGGTGCTGTCAGTAGCAGTAGCTGAGTTATTTGTTTTAGAGGCCTTGGATTTTTGCTGCTGTGCCTCATCCCCATCGATCGCCACAATATGGCGCTGCAGGAACCAGGTAGGTGCAGGCAAGGCACACATTCCAAGTGTGAGAGACGCCTCTGTACCACTACGTACAAACTCGCAGAGCTGCATCGTTTGGCAGACTATCGCCTTGTACTCTGCATCAATCTCTGCGAGGTTAGTGAGCATGGACGAGCGCCACTGTCGTGATGCGTCTTTCGGTCTCTGCATCCCCTCTATGGTCTGGCGACGTTCGGGGCCCCCTTGAGCTGGCGAAGTACTGCCAGCGGAAGTAGCCACAACAGTAGGCGCAGCCACAGTGGTATGGTGACGCGACCCTGCCCGCCTCGTCACCTCGTCGCCCGGCAGTTCCTCAACTGGAGCCAATGCGCTCGATGCTGCAACAAGCACTGGTCCGGAGGAGAGTGAGTGTGGATCGCCCGGGTAACTCTCCTCGCGGTGGAGCTTCTGACCCTGAAATCCCGCATCGTGCTCAAGTGCAGAGCCATAGCGGTGCTCAAAGGTAGAGACGAGGTGAAAGACGCACTGATACAGCATAGCTCGCGACTGCACGCACATCTCTCTCACTGCGTCGTGTAGTTTGATGTGGCGAGCAGCGGCATTCACGAGAAGCGGCAGAATGCCCCCCCAGTGAACGTACATTGCGGGGGAGAAGTCAAGCTGCGCGAATCCGGCACCTCGGCCCCACTCCTCGTTGTGCCCTGTTATTGTCCGACGCCCGCTGCCCTCGCTCTGATCTTTAGACGCGCCGTCAGTGTCAATCTCCTCCAACTTCAGTGCAAGATGCAGCGACTTAAGAAGAAGATGCACAGCTGGAAGTGCGGAGCGGGTGTGGCGCAGGCGTCGTGAGACAGTGCTGCTGAAAGGGCCGATGCCTGTGATAGAAGTGAAGGCGGCACTGCTCCAAAACTGCACCGACTTCTGCAGCGCACTGATGGCTTTCTCGGACTGCACACAAAAGTTATTCAACGTCTCGGGTTCCCTTGTGGAGTCCCACTCTGCGTAGATCGCCATGCAGACGTCAAACAATAACAGACCGAACTCGCGCCAAATTGATGCAATTATGCTGGAAGAACCAATAATGTGCTCCATCAGACGGTACTCGCGCAGCAGCACATCCGCTGGCCTTTCCTCTTCCTCGATGTTGTGTGCGATAGCTCCGCTTGCTGCTGCTGCTGTTGACGACGATGATGGTGAACGGAACGGTTCACGCCCAGCAGCTACACCTTGGCTTGGAGTCCCGCTACAAGCATCTAGATACGGCACCAGGATGGGTTGCGGTGCTGCTGAAAGTTTTCGTCGTCGCTGGTGGATGCAACTGAGCTTACGCTCACATTCAACATGCAGCAACAACAGCTCGGCATGCTGCTCGCTGATAGGTCCTGTACCCACGAATCCAGCAAACGATACCTCTCCAGCCTCTCCCATATGAATCAAACCTGGCTCGCCCGTCATGTAATTTTTACACTTCTGCATCAGCTCCTCTGTAATTTCACTCTGTAGCCGTGCTAGCTCACAGGTACGATGCAAATGCTGCAGCTCCAGGCGGTACTTCTCGAGCAGCAGTGTGTCACGGTATTGTCGATCGGCCCGAAGGTCGCTGCTGTCAATGGGAAGGGAGAAGAAATGATCTATCGTCCGCACCGCCCTCCTCGGCATACCTTCCTGAGCGATCTGCTCGCACACCACCAATATGTTTTGCAGCTGCCAATCCGGTGAGACAAGGGCACTGCGGAGGGCGATGGTTTCAAACCGCTGGAGTGCCGTGCTATGAGCGGGAAGCGGCCGGCCAGCGATGTTCTGTAGCCGGCGCCGCGTCGCCTCGGTGTACGCAGCCCCCCTGCTACGATTACCTTGATGGGCTTCTGCGCCGTCTCGTCCCCCAGCTACCGATGTTGCTTGTACCCCGCCTTCACCTTTTCCACCTTCTGCAGACGGCAACACACCCCCAGCAGCCGGGTTGGCTGCAGTACCAACAACAGCGCCACCACCAAGACCACCACCACCAGAAGAGGAAGAAGTAGCACCCGCTTCGCTCATACCGGTGCCCATCGCCCATTTCAACTCAATGGCGTCTATGCCTTCCTCAAGGTCAGAGATCTGCTGGAACATAATGCTAAGCTCAAACTTTAGGCGTGTGTTCTCCGTATGGAAAACGGCGTATGCGTCCTTCAATGCCGTCCGCAAGTCCGCCAGCACCTCTTTGGCCTTCCCGTATTCCTTTGACGCCGTCAAAGCGGCGGCGCGGAAGATCTCTACCTGATTATAAAACGGAAAGTCCCTGTGATTGCGGAGGTGGCATTCGCCCGTGCTGCGGTCCGTGGGGAGGACATGTTCAAAATTAATCTCATCCACAATGTTCCAACGGGAAAGAGCCTTCGCCGCCGACACCACGTACCGCGTAATGTGGGAGAACATGGGTCCTGTTGATGGTGCCCATGCCGTCCCCAGCAAGATGCGCTGCAGCTGTTGCTCACACCCTTCCTCACCCACCGACGGGGTCGCGGTCTCCTCATTGACAAACTGGGCGTCTTTAATCGCCATCCACAAGTTCAGAATGCTCTCAAAGTCGTACACACGCATATAGCAGCGCATGGCGCCAACCACACTGCTGGGCGACAAGAGGGGTTGCTTCGTCCATGTGAGAGATGCCCCGTGTGGGTCGCCAGAGGGGCCGTGCAGTGTCGCCCGGATGGAGTGAAGGTACTCTCGCGATGCGGCCTCAAACCAGCACGACTCTAGCAGCGCCGGCCGCCATCGGTATTCTCCCCCACCGGAAGGCACCGTACCCTGTGCTGCAAGAAGTGCGTAGCTACTGCTACTACTATGATGACTGGCACTTATGCTGTTGTTGTTGTTGTTATCACCCCTGTCATCATTGCCTCGCTGCACCTCCCACGGAAGCAACTCGTCACACGCCGCCGCTCGCGTCGCCGGTCCGGCGATAAAATCAGGTTCACCTGTCGCGTTAGCTCCCTCGACGCCAGTGTTGTTGGTGATGCTGTTAGCATTCTTAGTGCTACTAGTGCTCTCTCGGCGCATCCCTGGCGTGCTCGCCTGACACATGCGGTGTGCAGCTCGGCGAACGAGTGGGTGGTGCGACAAGAATCGCGGGTCATTAAAGTAATTGACATCTTCCAGAGCCACCACAACTCGTGCGAGCGCCTCCCACGTGAAAGTGCAAAGTAGCTGTTGCTCAAGGTATAACAACATCAGCGGTGTGTTAAGGGCGCGTTCGGCGAGCACTGTCACAAGCTCCAGAGTGATGTATTCGTCCTCGATAGCCTGCAGAAGCGAGAGTGAGAAGAGCGACGGGCTATATAAGCGGATGTGATGCGCCAGCCGTGCCAGTTCAGCGGCGATGATCTGCGGCACGCGGTTGTGCATGCGCACGAAGTCACACAGCAGCTGCATCCACCGTCGCACCGTCTTGTCATCGCATTTGGTAAGGTGTGAAAGGAAAGCGATGGGTAGAAGCTCCGAAGAGAAGATTGTGAAGTGTCGCCGCACCAGCGGGGAGCAGCTGCTAACGCACACATGGTCGCTGCTCTCCACCAGCATCGTGCAAAACTGCTCGAACCACGGACGCCATTCACTCGATGAGAGATTCTCGTGCTGCCGAAAGAAACGCTGCTCGTCTGTCTCATCACCCCCATCGTCAACATCGTCATCGTCTTCTGCGGGTAGCGAAGTTTTTTCATCCATAGCCGTCCCCATCATCTCTTCATTGTCATTAACAGCGCTGTTGTTGTTGCTTGACAGCGCATCTGACGGTCGAAGCGGGGGCCGTTTACAGCTGCTGGCATAATCAACAGCGCTAGCCGCAGCACCACCCACCGCAGTAGTGGTGACAACAGCAGGTGAAGAAGAAGAGGCATCGCAAAAAACGCGTTTCGCAAGCGAAGAGCTGGGGCCACGCATACCACTCACAACTGTCTCTGGCGAGCACGCTGCCGCCACCACCATTTGGGTGACGCTATCCACCACCGATGTGGGTCCCGTGGGCAACGACGAGGATACAAACTGCGGCGATGACACTGAGGACGAGCGTGATCCGTGCAATGGCCGCGGCTGGCGAATTGGGATCGGGCTAGACTGCGGTGGATGTTGGGGCTGTTGATCTTCACCAGGGGCGCTAGGCCGCGAGCTCCGAAGTCCGCTCGTCACCTGTGTCGACGGCAACAAAGGATCTGCTGTTGTACCGATGTCGGAGCCCGAGGCGTGAGAAGCTGACCACCTTTCTTGTCTCTGTTGCGGGGGTGTTGATGGTGATTGCTGTTCTAATCTCTGCTGCTGTTGTTGTTGTTGCCGTTGGTGCTGCTGCTGCTGCTGTTGTTGTTGTTGGTGCTGCTGCTGTTGTTGTTGTTGGTGCTGCTGCTGCTGCTGTGGATGCTGGATCCCTACTGGTAGGAGGCACAAGCGGTAGTGAAGTGACGTAGCGCAGCGAAAGAAGTCCACCANGGGGTGTTGATGGTGATTGCTGTTCTAATCTCTGCTGCTGTTGTTGTTGTTGCCGTTGGTGCTGCTGCTGCTGCTGTTGTTGTTGTTGTTGTTGTTGTTGGTGCTGCTGCTGCTGTGGATGCTGGATCCCTACTGGTAGGAGGCACAAGCGGTAGTGAAGTGACGTAGCGCAGCGAAAGAAGTCCACCACAGCGCTGCTTGGCTCAAAGCGCTGCTCAAGGTACTCACCAATCATGAGATCGTAGGAAACGGCCGGCATTCGGCAGCGACCAGCGACGAGGAGCACACACGCAAGAAGATCCAACTCGACCGGCGACTCCCACGATGTGGCCGTCTCTTCAAAGGGAAATGCACTCACAACGGCTGGACGACCCTCACCAGTGTTTTCCAGCACCAAGCGTGCCAGCGAGGAGCTGTTGAACCACTGGATCTGGCTACCGCGTTGTCGTCGGAGTTCCTGCTCCAGCGCTCTTCGATTCAAGCTGGATTCTGGCGTATTGCCAAAGACTCTGTGCCGTGGCCATAATAACTGCCGTTGTTTTCGCTGCTCCTGCTGCTGTTGTAGTTCTTCCGCCAGGTTTTCCAGTGCCACCTTGTGAACCTTGGCGTAGTGACACAGCTGCAGCAGCACACTTTCAACGACCGTCGTGGCGGTCGCCGTCACATCACAGGCGCCGAGGAGGCAAACCAGAACCTGCGCAATATCACGGCTCACCTCTGCGTCGAAGTGGGGGAAAGAATCAGTAGAGTGTTGCAACGTGTTTGCTTCGAACGGCACCAGCGCCCCCGCTGGGCTCCCAGAGTTGCGCAGCAGCTGCGAGAGCGCCAGGCAGGCGGACTGCACGGTGGATTGATCTGCCACAGGCAACAGCGAATGAATTGCCTTGAGCACATCGCGAACAACCATAGATGTCGTGGTGGTTCCCGCCGCGGTGTCACGCGCGGTGTGTGAGACACCGCCAAGCAGCGGCTGGGAGCTCCCAGTTGGAGAAGCCGGAGCCCCCTCGCCAACGAGTTGCATCAGCTTACCCAGTAGAAGCGACAGGAACCACACACAGTGTTCCTGCACCAAATCTGGAACAGCCGTGCAGAGCGCCATGAGCAGTTTGCAGCTGCTGGACAGCGCGTAGCGCGATGATACCCAGTGCTGATCGAGGAATGCCACCAAAAGGGAGTACATTGGGGCAATCCCGCGACCAGCGAGCTGCACCAGCTCCGCAAGGTTCTCCATCGTCGAGACGCGCAGAGGGGCATCGGCGCCGGCGCGTTCCAGCAGCCCAGCGAGAACACTCAGGAGCGCTGGCATGTAGCGCTCCAAATTCTGCAGCGCCCCTGCGTCCCGCAGGATGGCGACAGTTGCCTGGAGGCATGCTTGCAGCTCCTCGTTGGTGAATGCGAGGATACCGTTAAGCGCCTCCGAGAAGGTGCGGAGTAGAGTACACAGAATGGTGTCTGGCCACATCTCCTCCGTGAACTGCGCACGAAGTCGGTTACCTTGCATTTTTTGATGTGAAAGCTTGACAGTGTTGATGTGCAGTGGCAGTGGGAGTCGGTACTTGAACTCCGGGCGCCCAAGCATCACCGCCGTGCCTTGTGTGTCGCCGCGCTGGTGGTGTGACTCGATGGAGCTGATAGTGCCGAGCAGCTTAAGAACCGACAGCGACAGCTCCGAGCCAATAGACGGCTTCTGATACAGCAGAGACTGTGAGCTAGCCACAATGGACTGCAAATCGCATGTGTTATAGAAAGGCTTTGTGACAACGACGCTTTGAATAATCTTTTGTATGGCACCAATGGCCGCGTGTAGTCGGTCGACATCCCCATCACGGAGAAACAGCTGCGCTGAAAGAAGTTCGAGAAGCACCTCAAACTTGTGCCACTCCTCGCGTGTAATTTCATCCATAAGATAGGACAGCATACGGAGGGCCACGACTACCGTGCCGCGCTCCGCCGCGTGGTGAGGCATCAGCACCTCCTGCAGCAGCTGCAGTATGCTGTCCATGTGCAGAGGCATCGAGTGCGGCACAACCTGAATCACCTCAAACAGAAACTTCAGCTGCTCGGCGTCGATGTTTGTGCTTTCGGCGTTAGCCGTAGCCCTAGTGTTGCTCGCCCCCCCGCGTTGTGGGCGTGAGAGAACCGCACGCTCCTGAAAATCGCGCAGCGTCTGCAGCAGCACCTTCCGTAGCCGTGGGTACACTACCGATGGAACGGAGTGTGCGACACGGCGCAGAATACGCACCGCCTCCACACGATTGGGTGGGTACTCATCGTTGAGTGCGGCAGAGAGGAGATCGACAATCTCCGCGTGTGTGCCGAGAAACTGGTCTGTCTCGGTTGAGAGATTCCGCAGCGCCACGTTGCGGATTGACGCCTCAGGGTCGCACACGGCCACCTCCACCATGCGATGCAGCACCTCCCGCAGCGTGTTGATGTGCGACCGGCCCGTGTGGCGATCGCATGTAACGGCCACATCGCCCCCCAACGACGGCGCTGCCGCTGCTGTGTGTGGGAGCTGCATGTTGCTGTTGCCGACTGTGGTTGTGGCGGCCGTGGCAGCCACCTCCATCGCCCTCATCTGCACGTGCATGGGGGAGACGTGGCTTGTCGCATGCGTNGCACTCGTACGGGTACTTGTCAAAGGCACACGTCTAGGGTTGCATGTCACCCGCTTTATTCGCCAGTCTGCTGGGGCTAGTCCACCCGCTTCTAGCGGCAAGGCGCGGAAGCAGTCGGAGAGGAGGAGGCGGACGCAAGCAAGCACACACTCCCGCCGCAGCGCCGCATTGCGGTGATGCATGTATGGTGTGCAGACGTCCAGAAAGAAGAAGGCGGTTCCCTCCCAGTTGGTGCAGAAGCCCTGTAGCACGCGGAAACATATTTTCTTTTCCTCCAGGTTGAAGAAGCTTCGCGCTAGTCCTGCTGGCTCGTCTAGTGAGTTTATTTCTCCTGCTCCTGATGTTACTGTCTTATCCATGTCGCTGCCATCCTTGGTACCTGCAACACTCCGCGCCACCTGGCTCTGCACCGCGCCGCTCTCCGTGAGCACCTCTGCGATGCGCTGCAGCAGCGCGCCCCGGCAGCGCAGCCGCAGTTCCTTGTAGACAGCGCACACCTTTGCCGCAACGCCCGCCATCTCTGTTGTGAAAGGCGCCGCGATGGCCATCTCCGTCAGTTCCTCAACCATCGGTTGGAACCGCTCGCGCAGCTCCACAGGGATGTTGTGCACCAGCAGCGCGAGAACGGAGAATGCGGCGGGGCAGTACGTCGCCGCATCGCGCTGCAAGGCACAGAATAAGAGGGGGTACACGTGCTGTTTGGTCATTGCCTCGAAAAGGTGCGGGTGCGTGGTGGCGATGGCCGAAAGGAAGAGGCCTATGTTGATGAGCGAGAGAGCGCGCGGGTCGTTCTCGTGGTACATCACCGCCGCAACGCCGCCACGCGCCATCTCTTCACCGTACTCCCGTCTCTGCTGCTGGTGGTGTGTCGCCTCCCCGTCGCTGAATACCGCGAGCGATCGGCTCAGCAGCAGGCGCAGCGCCTTCTTCACGTCTTCCTCGTGTAGCCTTCGCGGACTGTACAGCGCGAGAAGGGGCAATAGCCGCTCCGTGTGCCACGATGACAGCTGCGCCGACTCCCGCGGTGCGGCAGACGACAAGCAGAGCGCCAGCAGCTTCCTCAGCATGCGGGGGGTGAGAAAGTGCTCCAACTCCGCCACTTTGCGGGAGCCGCTCGGCAACAGTGACGGGGTCCGCGTATGCCGCCCCTCCGAGTCGGGGTGGTGGGGGATGTGATGGTGGTGCGGCCGTACCACCTCACTTGGCGTTGGTGCCGCCACTGTTGCAGACGCAGCAGTGTGGCGTAGGTGTGAGGAGGCAGAGGCAACGCGGGAAGAGCTGCGGTGCAAAAGAATCGGCATCGCAAACGGGCGGCGCCCCGCCTTTCCTGCTCGGTAGAAGCTGCACCACTCCGAGCCCTCCTCCCCTTCGTCCTCCTCATTGTCCTCATCGTCGTCATCATCATCATCATCCTGCCGCTGTAGCGCGCCAGAGACGGATTCGTCCGTCTCGGTGCCGTGCGACGCGTCATCCTCAACATCGAGCGGCAATTCACCGGTGTGGCGACGCGGCGACACGTCACGTCTCCCACTACGCAGGCTGCTCACGCAGGATGAGCGTGAGCTCGACAGTACCCGCAACGGGGAGTCTGCCACCGTTATCGGCCCAGGCATAATGGCTGTCGTCGATGTAGTCACGGCTGCTCCGCGTGTCGCCTCTCCCGAGATCGCAGAGACAGAAACACCAGCAGCAGCTGCGGCAGAAGCAGTGGTAGTGCTAGCAGTGGTAGTAGCAGTAGCAGCAGCAGCTACTGGGTGTGCGTGTTTCTCCGCAAGATCCGTCACAGATGGTTCCCAGTATGGGAAGCAGTAGCGCACAGCGGAGACAAAGGCTCCCACGACGAGTGTTCCGGCGTGCAGGATTGTATCAAAGTTGGGTGGTGGCGGCACCTGGGCAAGACGATGCTGTAACTTGCGGTGTCCCAAGCCTGCTGCGCTGGTCGTTGGACCGCTCGCGCCCAACGCGTTGCTGGTGAACGCCGGCAGGGCAAAACACGACGAGACGGAAGCGCAGAACTCCGTATCCGCCTCGGCGGTCGCGGTGTCGTTGTTGCTCATCACGGCATCAACAGAGTGATTTAACGCGGAGGTTGATGTGCGACGCTGGCTGCTTTTACCACCGCCAAACACACGCCGTCCAATCGAAAAGATCTTCGCCTTTAGTTGATCAAAAGGGTGTGCATGGCCACTGGCGATGCTGTTGTTCTTGCTATCACCGCGCCGCGTTACTGCTTGAGGCGTATTGGGTGGTCGTAACGACGGCTGCCGCATAGCAGCAGCGTTGCTGGGGCCAGTGCTCGGAATGGTTTCTTGTGGCAAGTCATGAGCCCCATGCGGTAACCGCAATGTCGTTGAGAGAGAGTAAATACTGGGAAACTCCACCTTATTCTCCGGGGACAACATCAGCATCACGGCGTGCTGTAGCACCGTGTGCACAGAGCGGAAGTTCCGCTGCTCCAGCGCAATAACGAACAACGCGTGCAGCGTCGCCGCCGCGAGTTCCCGCACTCGTGGTGGGAAGGCATCGTTGGATAACGACGTCCACGTTGCCAACAAGAGAGAGTCGCGCTCGTTTGACAGCAACGCGCGGTACAGAGAGGTTGGCCACAACGCCACGTGGCGTATAATAACAAGCCCCGTCAACTGTTCTGCTAAGGAATGGCCGTACTGTGTAAAGCCGCACGCAAGTGACAGCAACTCTGAGGCGGCTTTGAGGTACACAGAGGAGCTCGCCTCAATAGAGTGAAGTTGTCCCCACGCCTCCATCGCAAGCGTGGCAGTAGATATGCGTGCGGTTGGCAGGCATGTACGCAGATGGTTGAAGAGAATGGTGACGCGCTCGTTTTTGCTCGCGAACCGCCATGAGGCAACACGGATGATGATGTGCAGCGCAAGCACACGCTCACCACGCTCTATGAGGCTTCGGAAAAGGCTATTGAGGCGAACCACAATCGCATCGCGCTTATCACCCAGGCCCTCTGATGCTGTTGCTGCTACTACCGCAGCTGCCGCTGCTCCCATCGCTGGTGTTGCGCCCGAAGACACCGACTCCGCGTTAGCCACGAAGACGGCGCGCTTCGCCGGTGAAGCGGTGTTGGGTGCGGCGGATCCCCGCTCGTGCAGCATGCAGCGGTTGCACGACTCCACCAGCGTCACCAGTGCGTCGAGACCGAGCTGGTAGCTCCGGCTCAGCGACTCGTAGGAGGCGCCCCAGTCGCTCAGTGGCGGCTGCATGTAGTTTGCAAAGACGTCGAACCGCTCCGCAACGAGGCACCCCGCGTCGGTTCCGCCGGGACGCGAAGACGCGGCGCGGGAGCTGCTCGCTGGATGAGTGACCGAGTGCCTCCTACCGGCACCACTGCTGCCGCTACATTCCGGGGGCCACTTCTCATACCGGAGGTGGCGACGTGCACTGAGCACGGCGTCGGACCCACCCAGAGATATATACACTGTGTGTCGCTGAGGCGCGGTCTGACTGGCTGCGGTCGTTGTTGTTGCTGTTGTTGTTGATGTTGCTGCTGCTTCGGCTTCTGGTGCAAGGTTCGGGAAGGCGCGGGGCGACGCAGCACTTGCCACCGCCAGTCGATTGAAGTACTGCAGCAAAGGTGGGATAAAATGCGCGTCGTCCTGCAGCGGCGGCATCACAGTTCGTCCGACACTCTTGTTGGTTGCTTCATTCGTGCAGGAATCTGATGACGGCGCCGCCGCAGCTACCACGGGTGACGGCGCGCCACTCTCACCTTCTCGCATGCCTCCCGTCATGGAGCTGCCGCGGCCCTCGTGGTGCTGACGCGAGGAGCACGCACCTGGAGGCGAAAAGAACTCCCGCGCAAGCGCGTCCAACGGGGCAGACATGTCGCTTTACTTTTCACCTACGATAACTCCTATTGCTATTGTTCCTCTTCTTGTTGTTGTCGTTGTTGTTGTTGTTGTTCTGCCCCTCGTGGGCAAATAAACTGTGGCTCCCAGGCGGGAACACGCTCTTCCTCCTCTTGCGTTTCCTTTACAAGCGAATACGGAGGGGGGTGCAAGCTGGCACACACAACCAAACGGACGGGGCTCACCACCCCCACAGCTATTGCCCTGCTGCTTCTCGTCGCACACACACACACGCAGAAATAAGAATAAGCAAGAACGCACGTACGCACCGTATTTTCACAGACTATGTTCCTACCAAAACGCCACTTCCGATTCCTCTGTCGATGTTTCCTATATAATTCGTTCAATTTGTTTCAATTCGGGTGCGCCCTCGTTTGGCGTTGTTTGTTTTTCTTTTTTTTTTTCTTTTTCTCCTTTCCTGTCCCGGGGGAGGGCGTGGGGATTTCGTATCGACTCGCCACTCCGTCCACCTCGGGCCCTACACAGCAGTCAAGCAGCAGCGAGAAGCGGGACAAAGAGAGACAGCACAGTGCACAAAGCAGCATGCGGGCGAAGTGCCAACACGAACGCGTCAGCTCCTGCAATCAAGGTATGAATATATGAAGCGTGCTGCCACGGGCGGCACTGCATCATCTCGGAATATCAACAACAACAAAAAAAACACACACACACAGTCACGCATCCACGTGCCACTCAACATCCCCTACAAACAACAGGTGATCCCTCTATCCCATCACTGTACTAAACACACACGTACGCGCCACACCAAACCGCGATATATCCTTCACACGCAGGCAGCACCTTCAGCTGCGGCCGCCGCCTTTGTCACTCGCTCTCTGCGGCTCCGTTGCCGTCGTCGGGTGTGTCGCATTAATTGTCATCATCGCCGCCTCAAGGGCGGCCACCTGATCCGCGAAGCGTGCCACACTACGGTAGTGCTCCTGCAGGTCGCTAGAGGCCTGTGACAGCAGCCAGTTGCAGTGGCGGGCGCAGCACAATGTCGCCACCGTCACGCCAGCGGCGAAGTACTTGGAGAAGACAGCTGCACGAACGCCACTCATACAGAAATGTCCAACTACCGTTCGCTCTCGCCCCTCCTCCTTTGCGCTACACTTCTCCTCCTCCTCCTCTGTCAGCCGCCCTTGTGTGTTTCCTCGTTTTGTTGTTTGGTTTTGTTTTGGATGGAACAAACACAAAAAAAAAAGGAAATGGTGAGAGGAGCATGAGAAGGAAGACAGAACAAAAGAGCCCAGAGCACCCAGTGCGGAAAGCATCACTCACGACACCGTCTCCCCTTCTCCCACGCGTCCTCGTCCCTAAAAACACAATGGGAAGAAAAACAGAGCTTGAATGAGAGTCATGTTTGTGTGTGTGTTTTTTTTATAAAAAAAGAACCCTCCTTTTAAGTTAAACTAATTTAGTCTTTGATATTCACCGTCTGAATGCACGGGGTCCTGCTGCTGCTGCTGCTGCTGCTGATAATGATGATGAGGATGACGACGGTGATGCCGTTTTCGCCAAGTTTGTCGTTTGCGTGTGTGAATTGAGAGCGAAGACTACTCCTACTCTTCATTGCGATTCCTTCTTGCAGAGGGCAAAGCATATCATCGATGCATCAAACGGCCGCTCCACCCTGACGGTGTGGTCCTTCAGCACCTCCGCATCATCACAGACTCGGGCGAATGCAGCCAGCGATGCACCCATGGCTCGGGCGGTCTGCTCCATGTTCTCCACACGCGTCTGCAGCGCCTTCTTGCGGAGCGCGTCGAGCTCCTTCGACGCCATGAGCTGCTTCAGCCTATCGGCCGCACCCACCGCAATCTCGCCCGCCTTCTGTGCGTAGAGCGAGAGCTTTGTCGCGTCAACGCCCGCCCCAGCGGTGAAGTCCGGCTTCGCTGCGATGCAGCGGGCGTACGGTGTGAATGGCGGGCTTCGAATATGGCGGAGGCACTTCATGCGGTGGTTAAACACATTTTCCACCGTCACTACGGCATGCTTCGCCGCACTTGTGAGGTCAATGAGGCCTTTCGACTCCATCACACATGCCGCGACGAAGACGGCGTCGGCGATCATGCGGCCTGCCTCTAGAATGGCGAGATGCACTGTGTCAGGGTGTCCAACTGTGCGTGTCGTCAGCGCGAGGTTGAAGAGCGGCACCTTTGTACGGCGGTTGATGCGTGTCTCTGGAATCAGTGTGGCGGGCGGGGGGGCAAGCATGCCAAGATTCTCCATCTGAGCACNTTGTACGGCGGTTGATGCGTGTCTCTGGAATCAGTGTGGCGGGCGGGGGGGCAAGCATGCCAAGATTCTCCATCTGAGCACGTTGCGTGAAGTTGAGGTACCACAGTGCCGGCACCAGCTCCCCTTGTGTGAATAGGTCCAGTTCGAGCGTCAGGGAGAAGATGAGTTGCATAACGCGCAGGATGTGCTGGTTAGCGTACATGGCGAGCATCGACATACGCTTAACTGCCTCCGCCTCCAGTTCAGGTGAGACGGCCGGTACCAGTGAAAGAAATATGGAGGTGTCAGTGGAATACGCCATTTCCTGCAGTGCACCCAGCTGCGGCAGCGCGTTCATGAGCCGGCGGTGGGCGAGGCCGCGGTTGCACAGCATCGCCTCCATGTGGACAAGGTACGCCTTGGACATCTCCATCGCCCAGCGACGCACCGCCTCCAACGTCTGCTGCCGCAGAAGCATTGATTGCTCTGGTGTGACCCTCAGCGGATCCATTGTCTTGTGGATGCGGTACTTGATGACGCCCTCCAGCATTTCCTCGTCGCCCTCAAATATTTTGAGATACAGTGGGGCACCGTAATCTTTGGCCAGCTCATCGAGGATGCGGTGCGGCATGGACGGGCCGTGGAGGAAAGACTCGTTTTGGTCCTGGCGAAAGAGCAGGATAACGGCGATGGACCGCATCGGCAGTAATGGCTTTTGCGCCCCCAATGCCTCCACGAACTCCACGATGGACTGCAGCGACGGCATGTGGAGGAGGTCCCGCAGCGAAGCCAGCTGGGTCAGCATCTTCTTGTACTCCTGCATTGCCTGCTCGAAGGGAACGCATGGCCGCGGCTTCGTAGGAGTGAAGGCACTCGCCCAGTAGACCACCTCCGCCTCGCAGAAGAACCTGCTATCCTGCACCGGCTCCTCCGTGCGTGCGTAGTCGGCGGAGCTCAGCAGATCACACGCCTCCTGGCAGATGTCACACGCCGCCTCAGTGTCGGACTTCTTGGAATCCATGATAAATAGCTTCTGTGCCGACAAGAAGAGTTTTCTCCACCGCAGTCGCGCTGCGATAGCGGCAGACTCCGCCTTACACGCGGCCCCTTCAAGTTCAGCGATGATCTGCTCCTCTGTGATCTCTTCCTCGTGTTCGAGCTCCCGTAGCCATGGAATAAACTCCTCATCGCTGCGGATACGCGTCGTCATGACGGCACGCATTGTGAGCTCCACCGAACGTGCGACACCGCGGCAGTATGCGTGTAGTGTTGGGTTCTGCTCCTTCAGTATGTCCATGCGGAAGAAGTACGGGAAGGCCAGGCACCCAGCGGTGAGTGCGAATCCCTGCAGATACTGCAGCTCCTTCACATGGATGAGGTCCATCACGTCAAGCAGCGCCTGGCCCTTCAGCGTTGCTGCGGAGGGAATGGTGCCGTCCTGCAGCATGCTGTTGAGCGAGCGCACGGTGCTGTAGCCACAGCCGGGGTCTGTCTTGGCATCCATCACCTCTGGTGCGCTGAGCATCGCCTCCTTGTCGACACCGTCGCACGTGTAGCAGCGCCACGTGGCGCCGACATCTGTAAGCGTGGTCTTGAACTCACCCAAGCACTCCGCCCACGTGTCATTCAGGTCGCACGCCATCCGTGGATGTATAGATAGATAATGAATACTGTCTGTGTGGATGTGTGTGAATCTTTTTTTTTGTTGGTGTTTCTTTGTTTGTTTGTTTGTTTTCGTGTTTTACTTTCGCTCTATTGCAAGAGCTGTTCCTATCCCTTCCCCCCGCCGAAGATATCGATGGGTGGTACAAAGAGAGTGAAGAGACGAAGCGGGTTTGTGTATGTGTGTGAGAGAAGGGTGGTGTGTGCGACGCACGGCGGAGGATTGCCGCGAGACGCCAGCAGCAGCCACAACGTTCAGCGGGAGATCCACAAAGAGTAAGAACATGCGAGAAACGAGAAACAAAGAACGCGATTCCCCATAGGCGTACATGTGGGTTGCCGGAAACATGGGTTTTTTTTTTTTCCTTTATCTGCGTTTCTTGGGTGTTGTTATTTGTTTGTTTCTTCTTTTTTTTTTT